GGGGCTAAGAATATGCATGCATCATACATACTGGGGGGGGGGGGGGGGGGAGGGTACAACTGGGGGAATCAATGGTGGAGAAGGATCTGGGATTTCTGGTAGATCACAAGCTTAACCACTTGCCTACAGGGCACTTATACCCCCTTTCGCCCAGGCCAATTTCCAGCTTTCAGCGCTGTCGCACTTTGAATGACAATTGCGTGGTCATGCAACACTGTACCCAGATGAAATTTTTATCATTTTTTGTGACAGATAGAGCTTTATTTTGGTGGTATTTAATCAACTCTGGGTTTTTTATTTTTTCTTAAACAAACCACAAACCACTGAAAATTTTGAAAAAAAAACTTTTTTTTCTTAGTTTTTGTTATAAAATTTTGTAAATAAGTGATTTTTCTCCATCACTGTTGTCCAATGACACCGCAGATCACCGGTAAATACAGTTGCCGGTTATCGGCTGCACTTTCCTCGTGCTGTCACAGTGTGAGGAAAGTACTGCCAATAACCGGCAATTGAGGACAGATCGGCACCAATCATCAGGGCACTGATGATCAGTATATCATTGTTGCATACCAGTGCAGCAGCATCAGTGCCGCCTATCAGTGCTGCCTATCAGTGCCCATCAGTGCTGCCTATCCATGCCACCTCACCTCAGTAGTGCCGCTTATCAGTGCCCACCAGTGCCACCTATCAGTGCCCATCAGTGCTGCCTGTCAGTGCAGCCTCATCAACGCACATCAGTGAAGGAGAAAAATTACCTGTTTGCAAAATTTTAGAATAGAAGCAAGGAAAAACTTTATTTTTAAATTTGTTTGCTCTTTTTTGTTTACAAAACATAAAACACCCAGCCGTGATTAAATACCACCATAAGGAAGCTCTATTTGTGTGAAAAATATGATAAAAATTTCACATGGGTACAGTGTTGCATGACCGCGCAATTGTCATTCAAAGTGTGACAGCGCTGAAAGCTGAAAATTGGCCTGGGCAGGAAGGGGGTATAAGTGCTCGGTAGACAAACTTGTCCAGTAAAAAAATTAAAAAAATCAAATTTCATCATAAATTTAGGCCAAAATGTATTCTGCTACATGTCTTTGCTAAAAAAAATCCCACTGTGTGCAAATGAATTGACTTACGTAAATGTTATAGCGGTTACAAATGGTGGCTGTATATGCACTGGATTTTTTTTAGTAATGGCGGCAATTAGCGACTTATAGTGGGACTGCGGGACTGCGGCGGCATTCTGACACTGGGAGGAACTGACTTGGTGTCACTCACATCCCCAGTGACACCAATACAGTGATCAGTGCTAATACAAAGCACTGACACTGTACTAAGGGCACTAGGCAGGAAGGGGTTAACATCTGGGCCCATCAAAGGGTTAACTGTGTGCTGTGTGTTTTTTATTTTGAGGCTGTGTGTGTGCTTCACTGTAAGCACACTGCTTTGTATGGCTGTGCTATGCAGAGCCATACTAAGCAGTGTGCAAGAGCTGACGGGAGAGATCTCTGTTGTTTACATATAAATCTCTCCCCCGTCGGAAATACTTGGCGATCACTGGGTGTTGGCGAGTAATCACCGGCCGGGACCCAGTGATTGACAGCCGAGGCCACAAAATATATATATGTGATTTTTGCGCACCCATGCCGCCCTGTAGCAGTATTTCTGCTATAGGGTGGCGCAGAACTGGGTAACCTATACTATAGATATTTTACATAATCTATATTATCTCAAAATTTAGATTACATAGGTGGACCAAACTATGGAGTAGCTGAAAGACACTTTGCAGTCTACAGGAATGACAAACACGTTTCTTTAAATGCTTTTTTGTTTATTGAACCATAAAACCACAGAAAATGTTAAGAAAGGCATTAAAATAATAAATCACATGGAAACATATGGATGATGTTTTTGAATCACATTATAAGCTCTGCTGATTAATTTATATATTAATGACTTTTCTGTGCTAGAATCACTGTTTTTTCAGCAGCTGTAGCCAAGGACAGCTGAATTGAAAGTTATAGTGTAAATCTGGGTTAAAATAAAAAAAATGACCTGGGACTTGGGGTTGGTTTACTTAAATTGGACAGTACAAAATCGGATGCAGCTCTGCAAAGAAACCACTCACCAGTTTTAGTAAATCAACTCCAGTGTGTCACTAGTATTAACAAAGAAGGATTTGTTTTTCTGAATCCACCTGTAACAATTGTATTCCCTGTTGGTCCTGCCAATAGATCTGTTATTTTTCCACTTTCTTCAGCAGTGTAAGAGTGTTGTTTTTTCTGCAGTGTAAAATGTATGGGGGGGGGGGTTGTTATTTTGCCGGGGGGGGGGGGGGCTATCAAGATATATGGCTTCAAACCTTTCCTGCTTTGTAACTTAGGCTTAAGCTGGGTTTAGGTTTTAATTTGTTTGTCTTTACCTTAAAGTGTTACTAAACCCACAACAGTAAAATCAGTCTGTATATGCAGTAAAGCATGCTTGTTGTAATCACTGTGGAACCTAAGGGGTTAATCCTCCGCATTGTGTAAAAAGGCCGTTTGAATCCTGATTGCTCTGTTCCTCCCCTTGCTTAAGCGACCACCTCTTATAAGACAGACTGAACCGTAGACATTTTGCCCATGCTCAGTTTGGTGTGTATTGCTAGAGAGGTTTTTCTTTTTTCTCGGGAGAGTGCATGTGATCAGCACAGGGCCAATCGGCACTGTCCAGACAGAGGTCTCAGGGTCTGCAACCTCCTAGAGCAAAATGAAAACTCCTATAAGCTTTAACCAGTGCTCTGCTGAACACTGATATACGTTACAAGATTGCTCTAACTTCCGATGAGAAAAGGTATTTAGCAGTTTATATATACTAAAATAATTGCATTTCTATGTTGTGTGTACTGTGGGAGACCAGATATAGTGAATGCAGGGTCCTGGGAGACCAGATATAGTGAATGCAGGGTCTGGGGAGAATAGTGAATGCAGGGTCCGGGGAGACCAGATATAGTGAATGCAGGGTCCGGGGAGATCAGATATAGTGAATGCAGGGTCCGGGGTTTAGTAACAGTTTAAACTAGTTTTAAACCCTCTAGGTTTTTAGATTAACACATTGAACACAGTAAAATAAACATTCCCAGTAAACTGTTTGTAATAATTCCTACCCAACACTTGCAAATTACAGTTTTCAGGGCTGCTGGCTCCTGCTTCTGTTGAAGTAGGTAGATATACCTCTAGTTCCTGAATGCAAGGGTGACTCCATTGGATGCTAAAGAAAGGAGCCACTCTGAAACCTAGGACAGTGATCACGGCACCAGATTATACTGGAACATAGGCAACGATTATAGTCACTTAAAATGTATCTAAAAGCAAATTGTTTTATATTTTTGGATAAAGTAAGGGAGTGTTTTTTTTTTTTACCATCTGTGTCCCATTGGGGAGATTTCCCTTCACTTCTTGTCCCATAGCCATAATAGGATGTGAGAGGAAATCCCTTCACTTCCTGTCCTATAGCCATAATAGGATGTGAGAGGAAATCACTCCAAAGTAAAGGAATCCCGGTGTGTTACCAGGGTCACCAGAACTAGTGTCCCCATTGGAAGATTTCCCTTCTATTACTGTTCTGATATCAAATCAAAATTTTGGATTTTCTTTTACTTTCTGTGATATTGGTAACCATGATAACCATGATAAATAGAGAGGGTAAACATCCCCTAATGAGGCAACAGACAGCAATTAAAAACCTGACAGGGGTTCTAATCTCTCTCCACCCTATCGAAAACTAAAGAAAAACATTTTGCCTTTAGTTACACTTTAATACTGCTGGAAATCCAGTTTAAAGCTGCATATCCATCTAAGATTACCCTGTCCACAGGGTGACAAGGCTGCTGCATGATTTCACTTAAGAAAGAACAGTGTTGTCACTCTATTACAGTAAGAGGAAAAATATGTGATCTGCTGGCAGGATCAATAGGTAATAAAACTACAGTAAACTACAGAAGGGACTTGTATAAGTCAAAAACTGCTGTGTTAATTCTGGTGAAATACTGCATCATATATGTAAGTTTTGATTATGCCCAGAGTAATACTTATGTGTTATAGCTTAATGAGTTAACCATTTTGTGTTCATTTTTGTATTTCCATATTTTATTGGAACTTTGTGGTTACTCAGATTGGTGAATTAGAACATTAATGCTCAAACTTTTTTTAATGTTAACTTGCCTTTTATCTAGAACCCACATTTTAGTTGCTATGGAACTGAAGAAAAGGTTTGTACCAAAAGAATGCAATAGTCTGTGAATTTTTTGAATAGCTGGGGGCTCCTATCCACTAATTGTGGAGTCTCGTGGTCCCATTTGGGAGGTTGGGAACTGCAACACTGAATTTTAACCCAATGGAAGGTACCCCAAGCAGGGACCCAAATCAACTAATTGTAATCAACTTTTATCAGTTTAGATCAGCTAGAAGAGTAATATAATATATATGTTGGGTTGCTTTCATATATTGCATTTTGCTAATTTTATTAAAGAAAGGTCAGTGGTGAATTATTTATTTGGTTAGCTCTCTATAAGATTATTTTAAGCTAGCTATTCTATTCAATAATAGGGCACACTGGCTCAGAAATTTCTTTCTTATGTTTTATTTTTATGGCAAGAAATTGAGGTCATAGGTGAACAGGAAGCCATCAGTGTACGTGTAGAGTTTGTGGTCATTTGGGTTGTAGGACATGCTATGCATTGTGTCCATCATTTTCTCAATGGGAATGCTTAGATTCTCTTCCTTACCAGTTTTGGTGTCATATATGTAGAAGATCTCCTCCATTTTTGTTCTGTATATTCTTGTAGCATATAAGACCCCACAGACCATGAAAGCATTGGTGACACCTGGCTTGTAAAGTGAGGTGGACCAGGTTTGCTTTACTTCCAAAGTGTTAGCATCAAGTTTGCTAATAAGTATGTTCCCACCCTTTTGTTCAGTAGCATAAATGACCCAAAGACCCTTTTCATCGGCAGCAAGATCAATGTCCTGCCAAGGTGTGGATAAATAGGAGAAGCGGTTGGTGTAAGTTGCATCTCTTAGTGCCAATCGCTCCACTGCATTAGTTTTCATGTTGTATTTGCAGAGATTATTGGAATTGTGGCAATTATAATACATTGTGTTGTTGTACATAATCATTCCAGCACCTTGCCCAAAACTAGAACTGCTAAGGCTTTTAGACACAGTGTGTTTATAGAGCAGGAGGTCATTGTAAGAAGGATAGCTGTATACAAAATTCATCAAGCGTCTATCAGTATTGAGTGGGGAAACCCAGAAAGTGGTCTGATCAGCTCCCAATAATGAGTCTTTTCCCCATCCTCCTGATTTGTAGTTTGCGCCATTCAAATTCTGCTGCACTACATATGGTTTACTGATATTCACAATGTGTCCATGGTCACAAGTACCTGTGCAACATAAAAAGTGATTGTAAAATAAGGATGGAGTATTCTAATATAAACATCTGAAAGTAAAAATCAGTCTTAACTCCAAAAATTGCATAATAAAACAGAAATCTTATAAAGCTCTACCAACTGGCAAAAAGTGGGACGTCCCCCTGCACTTTTCAGCCTGAAAGATCTCTAACAGGCGCTTTGTAACGCCAAAGCAGCTAAGGGTCTTTATTGGTGAGATATCTGAGTTCCTGAATGTGGGCACTTTGTGGCTATAATTAGGGGGCCTACACTCTCTGTTGGATTTTGTGTTTCTACTCTGTTATTGAGAAAGCTTCATCCCTGGCCATGTGGGATTTCCTGCATGGTAGGGGTTGGGGAAAGACCTGGCAACCTACCCTGTAAAATAATTGCTAAAAGAATTCATGGAAAAAAGTCGCTTACGAGTGACGGTCCATGCAATCGCCAAGGGTCGGATACGACTGAATGGATAGATAGATTGAGAAAGCACTCAATCAGCAGAGGTAAATTATCGCTGCTTAGTTTGCGGGTCCTCTGATTCTCCAGCTCTGGGCTGGAGAATCTGGAGGGAGAACACAGATCTCCAGTGAAGGGCTAAACATGTTCTCCGCTGATCTCCTGAGTGTCATAAACTGTGAATGACCAGAGAATAGCTGCGATCCTGTGAATCGCAGCTATTCTCTGTGTCATAAATGGACACCTATATTGCCAAAAGTATTGGGCCAGCCCTCCAAATCATTGGATTTAGGTGTTCCAATCACCTCCATGGCCACAGGTGTATAAAATCATCACCTAGGCATGCCGACTGCTTCTACAAACATTTGTGAAAGAATGGGTTGCTTTCAGGAGCTCAGTGAAATCAAGTGTGGTACTGTGATAGGTTGCCACCTGTGCAATAAATCCATCCATGAAATTTCCCTGCTACTAAATACTCCATAGCCAACTGTTAGTGGTATTATAACAAAGTGGAAGCAACTGGGAACAACAGCAACCCAGCCACGAAGTGGTAGACCATGTAAAATGACAGCGGGGTCAGCTCCTGCTGAAGTGCACAGTGCACACACGTTGTCAACTCTCTAAGGAATCAGTAGCTAAAGACCTCCAAACTTCATGTGGCCTTGAGACTAACACAAAAACAGTGTGTAGAGCGTTGTATGGAATGGGTTTCCATGGTCGAGCAGCTGCATCCAAGCCTTACATCACTAAGCGCAATCGCTTCGGATGCAGTAGTGTAAAGCACACCACCACTGGACTCTAGAGCAGTAGAGATGTGTTCCCTGCAATGAGGAACCATGCTGACTGGCCTGCACAGAGTCCTGACCTCAACCCAATAGAACACCTTTTGGATGAATTAGAGCGGAGACTGCGAGCCAGGCCTTCTTGTCCGACATCAGTGCCTGACCTCACAAATGCGCTTCTGGAAGAATGGTCAAACATTCCCATAGACACACTCCTGAACCTTGTGGACAGCCTTCCCAAAAGAGTTGTAGCTGTTATAGCTGCAAAGGATGGGCCATTTCAATGTTGAACCCTTACGGACTAAGACTGAGATGCCATTAAAGTTCAAGTGCATGTAAAGGCAGGCCGACCAATACTTTTGGCAATATAGTGAATTTCTTCTGCTGCTGTGGTTTATGGAAAACTGCATTAGAACTTAGTTATCTTTTTCTTCCCAATACCTAAAGTAATGCCCCCATTTCCCTACTCCAGAAGCATGCTTTCCTGAATTGGTTGGCAGCAGAAATCTAAAGAGGCTCTGGCCACAATCTTTTTACCCGCTGTTGCATCTGCACAGTCAGTCAATCTCCATAGACTTCTATGGGTGTATCTTTCAAGTCCTTCCTGCATCAGGAGATAGTCCTTTAGTCTTTCCTTTTGGTTTGGGAGCTTTACATAGTCATTGTTCAACATGTGATCCCCCCAATAGGGATTTTATTTGTAGAGTTCCTCCTCCCATTTTGTTGTTTGTTGACATGTATGCTTATCTATTCACAGCTCCAGCAGGGAGGGCAACATTGATAGGTGATTAATCACAGAGCAGAGTATGCACAGGAGTACCACACTGGAATAAAAGGTTCAAGTGAAAGCTGTACATCTACGCAATGCATTGTAGGGCCTCAAAATGCCCCCTTCATCAGGGTTTACTAAATAAAAGGTTCACGTGAATGCTGTACATCTAGCCAATGCATTGTAGGGCTTCAAAATGCCCACTTCATCAGGGCTTTCTATCAGAATAATAAATGATAGACTTTAAAAGTTGGTAGATTATCAGAATATAAAGGAAGTTTAATGTATTCTGTAATGTATTCTGTACTGTTTGAAGTCCATCTCTACTTTTAACAAAAGACAGTGGGGGAGATATACCAAAACTGGTGCAATCAGAATCTGGTGCAGATATGCATGGTAGCCAATCAGCTACTAACTTTAGCTTGTTCAGTTAAGCTTTGCCAAAAAAAAAAACTGCAAGCTGATTGGTTTCTCTGCAGAACTGCATCAGATTTGGCACTCTCAGGTTTTAGTAAATCAACCCCAGTATATCTTAAGAGTGCGTTACTGTAATTAAGCTGTACACATTATTATGACCTACCGTAGTGTGCTTGAGGAAGCGACAGCACATTTGGTTTAGAATTGTTTTGCTGACATTCTTCCAACCGTTTCTGTAACTCTGCAATCTCCCGTCTGATCACCAGGACATTGTTCTTATCATAGACCTCTAGCTGACTCACCATGATAGAAATGTTGTGGATCTATGAAAGAAAAAAAAATAAAGCTGGTAGAATGATCTTCTCAACTGCATTTGTTAATTCATTTGATCATGAAGATGAAAATAAACTTTACTGTTTTGGGTCATCTTTATTTATACTTTTTCCATTATTTATACAGTATAAAATCTTTATTGCAAATAGTCATTTAATATGGGTACAACTATAGCATTGGTGTCACAGAGCATTTTCTAAAGAATAATAAACTCTAAACAGAGTTCAACTAAAGCTGTTTGATTTCAGATTGTTTCTCTAACTGAAAATTTCACAAGACTCCCTAAGAATAGAGGGTGGGGAGGGGGTTGGAGTCACAATAAAATATTTAAAAAAATAAAAAAGTTTCAAATCTACCAGGTAAGGGTGAACAATACAGTACATTCATTGCAAAACATTGCTATCGTGTCCACCTACACCTACACTGTGTGTCATTTACTTTAGTTCAGTATCTATTTGCATGTTAAATATGCTGTTAATTTGATGGTTACACTATGTTGCACTGCCCCTTTATGACACCTTCCACAGCTCTCCACTGCTCAGTATGCATAAGAAAAAATGGTCTGAAGGGTGTCTTAAAGGGGCACTGGAGGAGGATTTGAGATATATACAGAGCCCAGAGAGGGAGACCATCACCAGGAAAAGTTACCAATGAGACCATGGAATTATTATAATTCCAACAGAGGGACACAAGGTCATTTTGACCCTAGAATATATGTAAGGTCAAGGAGACCAGGTGAGGGCACAATTGGTGGTGTGACAGGAGTGTCGAGGACATATGAGCACTGTTTTTGGTGAAAAGAGAGGAGCAAGTCACGGAAGGATTGATATAAAGGATTAAATTTAGAGAGAATTTAGTAAAAATGTTGACATTGCATTGTATTTTATATTGGTTTTAATATATTTTGACATTGAGACTGAGGTTGCAAGACACATTTTAGGAAAAAAGGGGAAGCTCAACACCATTTAAGGAGAATTTTTTTTTGTGTAATTTGGGTGGAAGCTTCTTACCAGTATAGATATCACGGTAGGGATATCACAGCAGCTCACAAGATATGTTTAAATATTTCTGTTAATTATTGTAAGCATTATTTTTCTCACCTCCTGATAGAGAGTCTCCACAATTACATTTGAGCCATTTAATGAGGTTCTCAGCTGCAGTATGATGTTCTCCATCTCTTTGATCTCCAGCTTGATGAGCTCGAAGTCCAGCTCAGAGTAAGAGAGACCGCCGTTCTCCATTGTCTCCACACGTCTGGTTAAGTTCTTCAATTGCTCCATGTAGACATTCACTGTGCTCTCATAGTTGTGGATCTATAAACACATTTTACATATTTACTTTATTATTTGTGAATATTTCACTTATTCCACAGCGGTTTTAGGAAATGCTAAACTATTCATATCTGCATCTGCCCCTAAAGAAGTTTAAAGTGTAATGTTCCAAACACAAGCACCCTCTAGTGTAGATAGTTTGTTGAGTGTAGTTACAGGCTTGCTAGAAGCCTGGGTTTAGATGGACGATTACTTCAGGTTAAGCTGGAGGGCTCTACCGTTCAGTCCCCTGGTACCTACCCCTGCTCTAGAAGCTTGGAGAAGCTTATAGAAGTCAATAAGTGGAGGTGAGGAGGGGCTGATTTGCATATTTATGGGAGTCTGACCAATCCCAGGCAGGAGGCCTGGCCATGTGGCAGACCGGCCCATAAATATGACAGAGCCTGGCCAGCAGGGGAGTCGGTGGAAGACGGAGGAATGAAGTGCTGCTGTGTAGCCTAGAAGGTGGCCCTGGCGAAGGGGGGTTCTGCCTCCAGGCCAGAGGTTAGAGGAAGGAGGAAAGCTGAAGAGATGAATGAGGAAGCTCCATTGGCCTGCAGACCACTGGGGAAGGACAGCCTGTATAGCCTGGAAAAGAACCAGTCCAACGATAGGCCTGAAAGCAGTTCTATCCACAGTTGCAGGACAAGGACAGTGAGAGCATCTCTACACCCCCCAGGCCTAGAAGGGAGAAGTCTGCTAGATGCAAGTTCTTAGCAAGTCTGCAGAGGACAGTCTAGTTCTTTCCCAATTCCTTGTCCTGGGATCAGATACTATAGCCAAGTGGGCTGGTATTTTGTTCACTAAGAGGACCAAGAGGGGGTTACTTTACTAAAACCTGTCATGGTTCTGGCTGGAATGCAGTCAAATATCTGCCATTTTTGCAGTTATGCTACAGAAGGAAACTGTCCTCATTTTGTTGTTCGTTTAATCAAGTTGGGCATCCGATAGCCCCTTTACCCTATCCAAGTTGAATTCCCTAATAAATTCTAAAAACCAAGCCCATGGACTGTTTCTTGTTGCCTGGCTCTGCAGGAAATAGGGGGACCCAAAATCAGCTGCAAGAGGTTAGTGGTACACGCTCTTGTTCAGACATCCATGCAAAGGCCAGTTTGGTCAAAATCTAGTATGTTTCTGGATTAGTTCACTCAAAGGAAAACCACAAACAAACAGAGGGAGAGACCATATATGGCTTTATTTACTAAAGAGAAATAGGCTGTTCACTTTGCAAGGGAAGATTCACTTTGCAAGGGAACTTTTCCCAGAGCTTAGTAAATGTGGTGAAATTTTGCTTTTCAAAGATTTCCCATTTTTGCCTGCATGGGATTAGATAATGGAAGTCAGCAGATCTTCACCTCATTCTCTAAGGTCTGTGGAAATTTACCTTGCAAAGTGAACAGGCTATTTTCCTTTAGTAAATTACCCTCATATTTTCTATCAAACAGGGTGGCTCTGGTGCCTGGAACTGAATGCATGTTCCAAATGCTACAAGGCTACAGTGTCAAAAATTGAATACGTACAGTATATTTATATTTGCAACTGGCATTCACACACTTTCATAAAGAAAACATTTTATTTAGCATAAATGAGAAAGAACTTCTTCCGTTGTCAGTGTAAAACCCACAACCATGTGAATATATGAAGTTGTCATTGTCTACCTTAGTGATTTCTTCACTGATAGATATGGTCAGGTTACGATTTGCTATTTCCAAGCTCTCCATTCGATCCACTGGGAAGGTGGAATCTGGGTGGATGATGGAGCAATGACAGACCCCATATGTATCCAGAGATCCAGTGGAGTTCTGAATCTGTTAAAGGACAAAACTTTTAGGTTTTGGAAAAGCTGAAGATAGAAAAGAAAAAACACAGACCAAAAATTTTACGTCATCAAATATTTTAAAGTATTCAGAGTTACTAAATTAAACGTAGTCAAAATCATCTATCCATCTATTGTTGGTAAAGTTTGTTATACATTTTTTGTTCCCGCTTTGCAGATGCTCTTTAAAGAAAACTTGTATTAAAGTGGGAGTAAGCTCCATTGGTTGAATTTTACTTATACAGTAGGTAAGCCTATACTAAGGCTTACCTATAAGTATGGTAAATATCTCTTAAACGTGTACCATTTAGGAAATATCTATTCTCTCAGCAGCTGGTGATGTCACTGGCATATGCGCTCTGAAGGATTCAGAGATTTATCATTTTCCTTTTACTTCACAATTATGAATGTGAATGAATGATAGATTTATCATTTTCCTTTTACTTCACAATTATGTGCCACTTTGTGTTGGTCTATCACTTAAAATACCAATAAAATACATTTACGTTTTTGGTTGTAACATGGCAAAATGTTGAAATTTTAAGGGGTATGAATAATTTTTCAAGGGACTGTAGGCTGTCTTGCTGAGTTCTTGACAATATTAGCTGCCTATCTGCCATGCTTATCTAATGGCTTCAATACTTTCTGAGGAATTTACCCCAGAAAACATGAAAATTTTGAATCTCACAACTCCCAATCTGCATACTTGTTCAAGGTTAATGATCTTGAAAGTAATGAATGTATTGGAGCATTATAATTTCGCCTAGGAAACTATTATTTTCACAAAGAAAGTCAGCAATGGTATCCTTCATACTCCTAATAGATAATAAATAATAGTTAATAAAAATAGATTCATACTTTTAGCCCCATTTCCAAAGCTGCCAAGATATACCTAGAATGTTGGAACCCTGACTTTGTCCTGCAAGAACTATTGACTGAATGGCAACATCTCATTCAAAAGTAACATGAAATTCTGCTAATTTAGATAATAAATTTTGCAGACAAACAACATATCATTGTCACTATAACAATTAGACCCTCCTTCTAACCTTACTTTGGGGATACCCAAAATAACTTACCAGACTGGCAGCCTGATTTTGGTAAATTCTAAGGAATAATATAATCAGTGGGAACATGATGATGTTCTTGTCTTCTGTACTGAGTCCTCAACCACTACACCTATATATAGTCAGATATACCCACACCCCTTAACTGTCATATTGTGTAAGGATGGTATTTTGATTCTTTTCCAAAACTATGACAAATTTGTAAGGGCTCTCAATTAAAAGTAGCACAGACTTCAGATTTGGAAGGCATTGCTGATGTTATATCAGACAACTGTTAATGTGATGGCCCCAAGATAATTGTGGGAAAGAACCCCATCAGGTAAAAGCCAACAATTGTTGATAAAATGTTTTGCTAACTTGATGATAAAAAATAAATACAGTATTTTGCATATTTTTTTTGTTTTGCTTTTAATTTATTCAATATTATATAAAAAAAACATAGCACACCAACTATGGCTAACAAGCAGTGGCAGACCTTGCAATTTACACTAAGGCCTTCAGTGATGTCCTACCTGAATTAATCCAGCAATTTTTGGCTGTAACCTCCCTGTAGGATGATGCCTATCAAATGGTAATGGTGCTACCGAAGTACTCCTGGGCCAACCTGAAGGACCTGTTTGGAGAGAATGTGAAAGTATCAAAGTCAAGGTGGAGGTTTGCAGATGAAAGCCTCACCCACTTTGCAGTAGACCTCCAGAATCTGTGGAAACGCCTAGAAAAGAAGAATGTACGTAGCTGTGCCATAACTGACAGACTACTGAGGGACAAGTTTGTGGTGGGAATGAAGACTGGGCCTGTCAGGAGAGCCCTGCAGTAATGAATTAAAGCGTAACCCTCCCTCTCTTTCAATGATACTGTAGTGGAGGCGGTGGTGCGGGAATAGGAAGGTGCGTAATCGGTGATAAAAAAGCATGAACTACCCTTGAGGAAGGAAGCCTTGTCCCCATCTTCCCTGTCAGCTATACAAATGGTTCTAAGAGAGCTCACCCAGAATATGGCATTCATGAAGCAAGAGATGTCCACATTAAAACAAGAGCTTACCCACCTCTCCAATGGCGAGATTCAGCTATAGAGGGACCCAGATGAAGACCGGTAGTGCTGGCAGTGTGACCCATTTTGGTCATGTAGCCAGGAATTGTGGCAGACCTGAATATAAAAGCCCCCATAGGCCGCTGTTAAACTAGGGGCTCCCAGGGCTAAGGGACAACCCCCTGGACCGTCAATCCAAGGTCCCATGAGACCAGAAGTCATGATCGCACCAAGTCCAGTGGTCAATGCCCTAGTCAACGACCATGGAGTCTGAAGTTGCTGTCATGGAATATGACCTCCATGCCAAGCTGTTCGGAACTCAAGACCAGTTGGACTCCTCCTGGCTGTCCCTAAAGGTGGCCAACAACCTGCCTATCTTGGTGGAAGGTATCACTTGGGTCAAGATACAAATAGAAGACCTGGTGGTGGAATAGGTGGGGGTCATGGTGATTCACTGCTCAGTATGCTCAGCAGCATCCAATGTCTTGGGCATGAACGTTTTGCAGGACTTGAACTTATCTCACTTGCTGGCCACGTTTTAGCATGCAAGCTGGTGTGCATAGGTCTATGGTCTGCAAGCTGCCTGGCCTAATGTGGTCCAAGCTCTCAAGTTCTATCAGTGAGTTAGGAAACAGTCTGAACAGGTGGAGGTTGTCCACACACCCCTCAGACAAAAGTTTCTCCTGGTTCCCTTTTAAGAGGTAGTCTAGTCCCTGCTCATCAAGGCTCACAAGAATCTGCAAGGGGCCACAGTAATGGGTAGAGCCTCGCAAGGACATAGGGGTACCGGGATAGTGTTTGACAGCCTCACCTTGTCCAAGGTCTACAAAAGATTGGTGCTAGTCCAGCTTATCAACTTGGGAACTTCCCCAATCCTACTTCCCAAGTATACTACCATTGCAGGCCTCTTCATGGTGTCCAGCCAATGCACCTCCAGGGCCCAGCCAGGAGTGGAGTTTGTGCCCTGTTGCAGGCCACCTTGATCTCCCTGAATGAAGAAGAATACAGATGCTGCTGGAACAGTTGGTTATCAGCTTTCAAGACTATCCCTTGCCACAAAAGTGTCTCCTTCATCAGCTACTAGAGAAATACCTGCTGGTCTCTGCAACCAGCCCTGAGGATTACGGTTGCACCAAGGCAATAGACCAGACAATCCATACAGGGGAAGCTCCACCCATTCAGGAGCGATACCACCACATTCCCCTGGCTCATTGATGTCAAGGACCTGATCCATAACATGCTACAGATTGAGGTCATCCGATAGATCCGCAGCCCATGAGTTGCTCCTATTGTCTTGGTGAGAAAAAAAGATAGGACCCTGTCATTCTGTGTGGACTTTAACAAGTTAAATGCTTGCACCCACTGGGATGCTTACCCATTTCCTAGGGTGAAGGAACAGGGCACTGGGCTTATCTAAATTTTTTTCTATGGTTGACCTGGTGAGTGGCTACTGGCAAGTCCCAGTAAGGGAACAAGACCGAAAAAAAGACTGCCTTTATCATACTCTTGGGACTATTTAAATTTAACCGTATGCCCTTTGGACTGACTAATGCTCCTAGTAAGTTTCAGTGGCTGATGAAAAGGTGTTTGGAAGATTTCAATTTTGAGACTGTGTTAGTCTATCTTGATGACATCATAATCTTCTCCAAATCATTGGAGAATCATATCCAACATCTAGATGTTGGTGAAGAACACAAAATATAAAAGAGGCCAGCATCTGTCAAAGAGAGGGGGAGTGTAGGCCGGTGCAGTCTGTATTCTCAACTACAGTGGCAATGCAGATGGGTGAGGAAATTGAAAGAAACTTTATTTCTCTATGATTTCCTCAGTCACTTGGGGCAGTAATCTGATTGGATGTTCTTGCTCCATGTGATCCTGGCAGCCATCTGAGGTCTGGCAGAGTCTATTTAAAACTCTGACCCCTGGAATTGGCACGCTTTATGCGAGTGGCTAGTGGAAGGACAGGTTAGCCAACTGTTAGAGACAGCACTAGTGTTAGGGAGAGGTTCCAGTGGAGTAAGAAAAGAGCAGGGACTAAATCTACTTTCTGAGGAAGCTTACCTTTTGGTTCGGACTTGCCAGGACACACTCCGCTCCTTGTGGCCGATGCTGTCAGCAGCTCTGAGTTTACATATGGCTGTCTCTATGCTGTGCTGGTGTAATTGTCCAGCAAGCCTCTCCATTGGTTTGTACAGTTGAACTGTTGCTATAGTACATCATTTTTGGCAAATTGGGACTCTGTGCTTACTGCCCATAACACCATACTGCACCTACCCAACAGGTTGAAAAAAAAAAACCTTTTTTTTTTAAACTCAGTTTGCATGAGGTCTAAGTGTCATCATAAATAAAACAAATTATAGATTAAAATATACACTTCTTATCTTGTAAAAACGCAAGTTGTTTTAAAACAAACGCTGGTCAAATTATGAAAAGGTGTATCTTTTTGTTTTGTTACATCTTTGTCTATAGTAGGCATAGAAAAAAAGTTGAAAGACAATATTGTTAAAAGAAAATCGTATTTGTTTGGGGAAAATATGGATTTTCTTTATCTTAAGGAATATGTTTTGATAAAGTAATGTGCTCATAGTTAAAATGTAAAAACTCTTCTTCTTGTACATAAGGGGCATGAAGGTGTGGCAACTGATACAGTTAAAGCACAGCCAGAATCATCACAATTGGGGTTTTTTTTAATGAAAAAGAAAACACAGTGGATGGAGACACAACTATAGAGTTGGGTTGGAGGAGAGACCAGAAGTACAGCGGCAGGTATACTTCCACAGGGATATATCAAATAATTTTATATGCTTAC